GGAGCCCTTTGCAACAGAGTGCGTGAGAAAAGAAAGCTGAAACAGAGCAGAAGAGTAGCGGCTTTCTCCATGCCTCTGAATGCTGTTTAACAGTTCCATTCTCTTCTCAAGGGAGACAGGTGTAAAAGCATACCGTTTGTTGCACTGGAAAAATCTGTTTGACAAAAGGCATGCTTTTATGACTGTCTCCTTCTGGAAGACAACAGTAATGCTATGACGGCATGTGGAGAGGCATGGAGAAAGCCACTACTCACCTGCTCTGTTTGGGTTTTCTTTTCTCATGTGATAAGGCTCAGAGCAAATAGGTGAAGGGCAAAGTGTGGAAGAATAAAAGTGGGAGGAGGAGAGAGAAACTGGGATGTTTTAAAAAGTGGGATGACAGAAGATTAGTTGGGACTGTCCCTGCCAAACTGGGACAGTTGGATGGTATGGAAGACACAACTTTCTAGGACAATAGATGTATTTACTATGAATATCAAGGGATGGGAGAAAATGAAAGGAGCCCTGGTGGTGCAGTGGTTAAATGCCTGTACTGCAGCCACTCACTCATAGACCACAAGGTTGTGAGTTCAATACTAGCCAAGGCTCAGGCTAGACTAAGGCCTGCATCCTTCCAAGTTTGCTAAAATGAGTACCCAACTGTTGGGGGGCAATGAGCTTTTACAGTTGTAGACTGCTTAGACATCCCATAGCGTGATATGAAGCGGTATATAAATGAAGCTGCTTTGCTTTTGCTTTGAAATGTCAATAATAATAATAATAATAATAATAATAATAATAATAATAATAATAGCTTCAACCTTCATCAGAGATACTCTGACTCCTGCTCTACATAATACTGTTGATTCTTTGTGCTCTATATGGATCAGAGAATGCAGACTCTGGCTGCATCTGTACTGCAGAAGTAATCCCAATTGACTCCACTTTAATTGCCATGGATCAATGCTGTGGAATTCTGGGAAGTGTAGTTTTGTGAGACATTTAGCCTTCTCTGACAGAGAGCTCTGGTCCCATAACAAACTACAGTTCCCAGAATTCCATAGCATTGGACCATGGCAGTTAAAGTGGTTTCAAACTGGATTATTTCTGCAGTGGAGATGCAGCCTCTTTGGTAGAATTTTCACACAGGACTGGTTGGTTAATAGAGGTTTAAAAGGAATCACCTACAAGTTGTGACCTAGGCTGCTTCCATACTGCAGTATTAATGCAGTTTGACACCACTTTAGCTGTCATGGTTCCATCCTATGGAATCTAGGGATTTATAGTTTGTTGTGTCACCAGAGCTCTTTGACAGAGAATGCTAAATAGCTCACAAAACTACAAATCATAGAATTGCATATCATTGAGCCATGGCAGTTAAAGTGGTGTGAAATTTCATTAATTCTGTAGCATAGATGCAGCTCAAGAAGGATCTATTGAAAGCTAGGGAAATAAGCCTTCTCTCATTTCAGCCCAATCTCACTTGCAGTGGAGAAAGGCAAGAGAACTTTCTAATCTTCCCATTTCAAAAATGGGGAGAGCAGCTACATGCCACTATTCCAGCAGCAGTAACTTTGTTGCACTGCAATTTCATTATCTAAAACCTATTTTATACGCATAGAGACATACCAGCATGCACACTCACCAGCCCTCAGCAATGGATATTATTCCACAAATACAGCAATACTCTGAATGTATCTACTTTTAAATCTGAGCAAATTTTCAGACTCCATCACATAGTGCAGTTTATAGCAGCTGGGAACTGCATTACGTAAATGTTTTAGTGAATCCCAATGGAGACTTTGCAAGAAGACTATTAACACTTTTAAAATAAATACTCAGATTGTCTTCTGTCTAAAGTTAGATTCGTTCACAGATCTGAGGAGCAGCTGGAATTGTATTTGTGACGACTGACATTTAAACACAACCCTTGCCATGTTACTGCAAGAGAAACCGATTGGTGGTAACATGCAAACCAGAGCTTGGGACATTATTTTAAAAAGTGATGTGTTAATGCTGGCTGTTGCTTTTCACAAAGTGAAAAGAATAACCTGTTATTTAAGATTACCATGCTAGTAACATGTTGCTTTTTGTTATTGATTGTGGTTGCAAAGATTATGTAAAATTGCTCCCGAATCCCTGAAAATCACTGCCCAGAAATATTCTAGAAATAACAGGTGTTTATATTACACCACAAATAACTGGATCACAGTTGAGTTCTGTTATTTCACAAAAATAACTTTGCTGTGCCCACATTATTGCAAAAAGTGGCGTCACCAGTAAAGTTGTTACTCTTCATGTGCTGCTTCCAAACTCAAGTGCAAAGAGAATTGCTCAATTTTTTGTGAAGGGAAATTTCGAGAGATTAAAAATAGTGATGAATAGAAAGAGCCTAATCCTTCCTTGCTCACCATTTCCTTGCATTGAATTGCTAGCCATGGGGGCTGGAAATTCAAGGAAGTTCATATGGGTGAACATTGCAAGAGATAAAGCAGATTTTGAAGTGCCATTTGCACTGATGGGCAGGAGAAAAATGAACTTTTTTCTTGCTCCCCAAACTCATTATTTTCCCCTTCCATAGCTACTTGCATAAAAAGGCCACTAATAATAATAATAATAATATATTTTATTTGTATACCGCCCTAGTGGAAAACCGATCTAAAGAGTCTCTTACACATATATTTCTATAGAAATATAATGGTGGCATTGCATGGCATATATGCCATAGCCCAGATAGCTCTTAGGTTACCCAAATACCATGAAGCAAATAATAGTATTCTATACATGATAAAGTTCACATTCTTTGCAGGTGAAAAGCCTAGGTTCAGTCCCATGCTGGCTGGGAGTTGTAACCCAAAAAGTAATCTTTGCAAGCTTAGTAAATCAGTGGCCCTCACCACTTTTTTTTTGTGGTATGGTGTTCCATAGATTGACTAAACTCTGTGTGAAGATTTATTTCCTTTTGTCCATCCTGAATATCCCCAGCACTTAGGTTCGCTAGATGGAATTGAATTTCAATATTACAACAAAGGGAGATGAAAAAATATTTCTGTGTCTGCTCTCTGAACATTATGCAATGTCATGGCACACTTATTTGTGAGCAAATCCCCCATAGAGCATACTGGAACCATGACAGTGATGAAAGAAGGGGGGAAATTATCTTGTCCATCTTGGCTCATATCGTTCTATAGCCTGGAAGCACTGCCTAGATCCTAGCACTTGAAGGTATCCTTGTTGTTTTTTTCAGAGTAAAGAGAGATGGGAAAAGATATTCTTTGTCTACATACCCTCCAACTGTCCCGATTTGGCAAGGACATTCTCAATTAATCCTCTGCCATCTCATCTTAAAAAACCTCATTTTCTCTTTCCTGCTCCCACTTTGTCCCCAGTTTACTTCCATAGGTGTAAACCAAATTCAAAGTGCAAAAGTAGTTTGCAGTTCATTAACTCAGTGGGAGGAGAGGAAGAGACAGAATCTTGTCCTTCCCAGTAGACTCCGGCCAAAGGAAACTGCTGCAGTTTCTCTTGGCTTGTGAGTTCTTCCTCATTAATAAGTTTTGCTTTCTTGACCATACTCTTATGTTGCTTGGGCACATGTGTCTCAGTTTTCATCTGTGTAATGTTGGAGGCTATGCATCCAGAATTAAGATTGAGAGGCCCACCATGGAATATGCCTACAAACAATAATGCAACTGTGGCCCATTCTGCAACAAGCATCACATTTATGATGCAAGGACAAGTTTTAATGGTGTCAGCTATTGAATGGGTCCAGATGAAGAGCTCCAACACAAATCTAAAGTGTATCTGAAGCCTGAAAATGCACATAATTAGTTAAAATGTAATCCCAGCAACTGAGGATAAGTCTGTGATGCTGAAAAATAGATTGGAAGGATACAAATGTGTTTTACTCATCTGTTCGAAGAACTAAACAGAGGCTGTACCAAAAAAAGGTATGAAATACAAAAAAGAAACTGGTGCAAAAAGTATAATAACATTGAAGATTTTTTTAAATGAATAGTGGTGATTGAAAATGCTTACTATATTAATACAGAATATGCATGGAAGAATAATTTGGATAATGATACACAGTCACCTTTTAGAGTAAGAGGATTAAGGATGTGATCATCCATTTAATTTGGTACAACACAAATGCATATGCATAGAACAGAAATACAATTTTACTGAAATATTTCACCAGTTACAGACTGAAAAATAAATAAAAGAAAGTTTTTAAGAGAGAGGAAGCATTCAGGAAAGAACAAACCTGATACAAAACAATGACTGGGTTTGCCTTGAAGCTGATAGCAGGAGACAAGCATATCAGTATTGAGGCTAAGAACATTATCACACTAGGCTTGTAAAGAACCCAAATAACATGTGTGTAGAAAACACAAACATACCGGATTGGGGGCACTCATTATTGCACTGCTATTCAAAAGTGTGATGGTCTATCTTCTGTCTCAGCCTCTGTCTTCTGCATGCTGACCTCCATAGCCTTGCCTCCCTGCCCTAACCCCTTTGCAACGTGCCTTTCAATCTGCATTTATTTATATTTTTAGAACAATTGCATGATCATAGCAATTCATAAATAAATAAATAAATAAATAAATAAATAAATAAATAAATGTTTTTAAAAAGCACAGTCTGCCTGGAAATAGTAAAGGAGAAGGGGGAAAAGGAAGGAGAAGAGGAGCATAATCATACTCACTCAAACCATGCGACTGCCTCCATATCAGAACTGCAGCAGGAGGAACCTATCACACATGAAGCAAAGTGGAAAAGTAGTAGGACTGGGAGGCATTGACGAGATTTGCCCATCAATTAAAAGGAGTGCTTGAGGAATGGATGGGTTGCAGAACAGTTATTGGACAGACAAGATGTCATGAGATAGTGTATGGCCACAGACACTTCTGTCCTACTATGAGTCCACTTTTTAACTCTTGTGTGATAAAACCCTTAGTTCTGTATAAACCTGTGCAAAATTGAACTGGATGACTCCAAAGATTTTGGGGTGCTAGAAAGGCAGCTTGGTGCAGTGGTTTCAGCATGGGACTATGACTCTGGAGACCAGGGTTCAAATCCTCACTCAGCCATGTAAACCCACTGGGTGACCTTGGCAAGTCACAGTCTCTCAGCCTTAGGGGAGGGCAATGGCAAATCCCCTCTGAAGACACTTGCCAAGAAAACCCCATGATAGGGTCACCTTAGTGTTGCCATAAGTCAGAAATGACTTGAAGGCACACAGCAACAAACAACAGAGACACTCAGCCTTTGAAACTTGTGTGACGAGGTAAATGTCTTTAGGTGCAGTTGTTTACAATCTGGGGATTTTGGTTGGGAACCTGGAGCCTATGGAATCCATTACCTCAAGGAGTATTGGTATATGATAACTTACATTGTCTGCCTCTTTAAAAGGGGGCAAATTCATAGTGTATGTAGCTTTCAGTGGCTGCTAGTAATAATAGATACTTGTTCCTTTCGGTACTAAAGGCAGGCTGCATCTGCACTGCAGAAATAATCCTGTTTGATACCACTTTAATGGCCAAGGTTCAATGCAATGAAATTCTGGGAATTGTAGTTTGTTCTACAATTCCCAAAATTCCATCACATTGGGCCCATAGTATGCTTTTCTGTATATCAGGAATACTAAGACCTACCTGTATATCCATGGCAAATTCATGGAAGATTAACTATTAATCATGATGGTTATATATTGCCCACAGCGTTACCTCTTTACTCATGATGTATAAAATAATCCAAAAATAACAAATTAGTTAAGGAAGATGGGGGAAGTGGCTTTAATGTTTACATTTACTTATTGTAAAAGATAATTATCAGCAGAATAAGTGATTTATTGAAAAGTAGGATTTGTGGAATGGAATGGAAAAGTGTACGGGGGAAAAAAACCTTTCCTTTTTGTTTTCTTAGTTTAATTGAAGGAAAGGGTTGGTTGCATATTGGTCTTGTTTGCTTATACAACCCACAATGATTTTATGTAGCTTTAATATATTATTACAAAATAATGACTGCTGAGAACCCTCCAAGGCAATGTTGAAAGGAAAGCTCTGGAAAGATAAGATGAGCCTTTAATATAAAGTTGATTTCTCTTTTCCCCTTCATAAGAACAAGCCCTTTTATTGAAAAGGAAGTTTATTTAAAGAATGAACTACATGACATCACTGTGATTAATTGCCCCATAAAACGGGAAATAATGCAAATGTTTTATTTTGCTTAGAATAACTTCCTCTTTATATGTAACCAGATTTTGTTCTTTAAGGCATGTACGATTTTTTTTTTTGAGTTTTAAAAGAGATCCAGACCGATGTCTAAATTCCCACTGGAAAAGTTTCTAAAAATGACACCATGGAGCAACATAAGGGTTTCAGTGGCAAAAAGTATTTATTAGTGACAACTATCCTGTATAAAAATGTACTACCCTATGGCAAGTTACAGTTTGATATTATTTGTTGGTGGCTAGTTATAGTTTGATATTATTTCTTGTGATTTTCATATTTCTTGTTAAACTGCCTTGGAAAATCTATAGTCTGAAGTGTGGAATACAAATTATATACAATTTTAAGAGTTTTTTTTTTAAAAAACTACATTTTGACTAGAATTTCCAGAACTTAGAATGCCAGGAGATTCTCAGAGCTGCAGTCAAAAAAGGCCACTTTCTGAAGTTCTTTCTCAAACATAGGAAACTGATGAGGGCTTTTGCAGACTGCCAGAAATAGTGCAAATTGAGTCCACTTTAAGAGTTAGGGTTAGTGCTAGGGAATCATGGGAATTGTTTTTTTTCTCCTGAGACATTGAGCCTTCTCTGTCGGAGAGCTCTGGTGCCACAATAAAATACAATTCCCATGATTCTGTAACCCTAACCCTAACCCTTAAAGTGGACTCAATTTGCATATTTCTGGCAGTCTGCAAAGGCCCTGACTTTTATTACCTCATACTCTTTGTCAATATAGATCAGTTGTGGTGTACTAAGCATATTTTTAAAGGGCCTGCAATGTCCAATATTTGCCTGACTTTGTTCTGATTGATGTATGTTGGCACAAAGTTATATTTCCATTTGTTGCTCTTAATATAAGGATTGGACAAAGGCTACATGAGGCCCCTGGGGCTGTTTTGTTGTCCCCAAACCCCCTGCAATCAATATATTTTGTTCCAAAATACCCAAAAATGATTTCTAGGGGGTGCAGATTGATTTCCACATGCTTGGAGACACACACACCTGGACCGCTCCCCAGGAATCAAAATGACATTTTCTGATTTTTTTTTAAAAAAATGTTTTTGCCTCAAAATGTCCTGAA